GGTCATTTGGTTTTCCTAAAAATGTATATAGTAAAAACTTATAGTAAAAACTTTAAAACAATTTCTTCTAGCAATCGACAAATGCTAGAGGTTAGATATTTGGCATGAAACATTGTGAAGTGAACTTCTAGCAAGATTGTTCAAATTAAAGCCCTGGGGTCAAAATTGCCCCGCCCCGGGGGTCATTGATTTTCAATATATACATATAGTAAATAAAAAAAATCTTATTGTCTGAAGGTACAAGGCTTAGAGCTTTAATATTTGTTAAATGATATCATCTATAGGTACTCTACCAAAGTTGTTCAAATTTTGCCTCTAGTGTCAAAATTAGCCCCGCCCCAGGGGCCATAGGTTTTCCTTATATGTATATAGTAAAAACTTAAAAAAATCATCTTCTCTAGATTTACAAAGGCTAGAGTTAAGATATTTTGCATGAAACATTATGTAGTGAACCACTAGCAGGATTGTAAAAATTATAGCCCTGGGGTCAAAATTGGCCCCATCCCAGGGGTCATTGATTTTCACTATGTACATATAGTAAAAAATTAAAAAATCTTCTTGTCTTAAGGTACAAGGATTAGAGCTTTGATATTTGGTATATAGTATTATCTATTGGTCCTTTTACTAAAGTTGTTTTAATTATGCCCTAGTGTTAAAATTGCACTGCCCCAGAGGCGATAGTTTCCCTTATATGTATAAAAAGTAAAAACTTGAAAAATCCTCTTCTCAGAATTGAAAAATCCTCTTCTCTGAATTGACAAAGGCTAGAGGTTAAATATATGGCATGAGACTTTGCGAAGTGAACCTTTACCAAGATTGTTCAAATTATAGCCCTGGGGTCAAAATTGGTTCTGCCCCGGGGGTCATTAATTTTCATTATGTACATATAGTAAAAAAAATAAAAAATATTTTTGTCTGAAGGTACAAGGCATAGAGCTTTGATGTTTGCTATATTATATATATCATCTATAGGTCCTCTACCAAAGTTGTTCAAATTTTTCCCCTGGTGTTAAAATTGGCCGTGCCCGGGGGCAGTGATTCTCATTATGTACACATAGTAAAAACAGAAAATAAAACAAATGTTTTCTGAATGGGAGAAAGCTACAGCTAAGATATTTGACTTGAAATGTTGTTTGGTGGACCTGTATCAAGATTGTTTTGAATTAAACCCTTGGGTCCAAAATTTTGCCTTGCCCAAGGGGACAGTGACCTACTTTCTTGTCCTTTGATGTACAGCAATGAAATTTTGACCATGTGCACAGTTTTAGTTGTAAAATTGAATTTTGATATCAGGTGACCTAGATTTTGATGATGTGACCTACTTTCTTGTCCTTTGATGTACAGCTATGAAATTTGAACCATGTGCACGGATTAAGATGTAAAGTGAACTTTGATATCAGCTGACCTAGATTTTGACAAAGTGTCTTACTGTGTTGTCCTTTGATGTAGTCATGAAATTTAGGATGTTTGAAATATGACCTTCACCACCAAATTCACTAGACTTGAGTGCATTGATATATTCCTACTCTGATCTTTTATTGAGTTAACAACAGATTTAACCACTAATCTGATAAGAATTAGATAGGTCAGGGATCTATGCATTATGACAATCTACAAAATTGAATAGAAAAAAAAAATCTGTTCCTACACTACTATTTAGTGTTGTATTAATGCGGTGGCATAGCATTTTTCTCAAATGCAATCTTGTTTGAGTTATTGCCCTTTGTTAATTTTCATACTTTATTTTTGTCCAGGCCATTTCTCCTAAAGTATAAAAGCTATGGACTTGAAACTTCATAGGATGATAGATCTCATTAATAAGAAGTGCAGTGCACAAGAACTGGTACTCTGCATTTCTTATTTTTTGAGTTATTGCCCTTTGTTAATTTTCATACTTTATTTTTGTCCAGGCCTTTTCTCCTAAAGTATAAAAGCTATGGACATGAAACTTCATAGGATTATAGATCTCATTAAGAAGAAGTGCAGTGTTTAAGAACTGGTACTCTGCATTTCTTATTTTTTGAGTTATTGCCCTTTGTTAATTTTCATACTTTATTTTTGTCCAGGCCATTTCTCATGAATTATAAAAGCTTTAGACTTGAAACTTAATAGGATGATAGATCTTATTGATAAAAAGTGCAGTGCACAGAAACACCGATCTGCATTTCTTATTTTTTGAGTTATTGCCCTTTGTTAATTTTCATACTTTATTTTTGTCCAGGCCATTTCTCATAAATTATAAAAGCTTTAGATTTGAAACTTAATAGGATGATAGATCTTATTGATAAAAAGTCTGTACACAGAAACTCAGCTGATCTGCATTTCTTATTTTTTGAGTTATTGCCCTTTGTTGATTTTCAAATTTCATTTTTGTCTTTGCCATTTCTCTTAAACTATATTGTTCACAAGGCGACACATCCGACTCACAGAGTTCTAGTTTAAATTGTTCAATTTATTTTTAATTACTTTCTCCACAATGCTTTTAATTGAGGGTTTATATCCTTACTTTGAGGTAATTGGTTGAACATTTTAGTGATTATTTTGCATTAAGGTATGCTTTTTTCTCCTATTAATTTGCAGATTATTCCCTAGAAGGTAATTCATTTTGCTTTATTACTATCTATATTTATTCCTTTTTAACTTTCTGTATATTGAATAACAGCAGATATATTATAATACCCCCACAAAAGAAGTTAAGGGCGGTATATAGGAGTCAGCTTGTCAGTCGTTTGGTCTGGTGGTCAGTCCATCCATCGGTCCACATCATGGTTTCAGCACAATAACTAGAGTTTGGAATGATATATTGTAATCAATCTTGGTATAAAGCAAGCTTATATGAAGACCCTGCATGGTTGGTATTGCACTTGGACCCCCTGGGGTCAATGTTAAGGTAACTTTTACTAAAAACAGAAAAAAATGTTTCCTGACAGTAACTAGTGTTAGGAATAAGATTTGTAATCAAATATGGTATATAGCAAGCTTATAATTATAAGGGCCCTGGTTGGTATTGCATTCATTTTGGACCCGCAGGTCAAGGATACTGTTGCAACTGCATGGTGAAGGCAACTAGTACTGGTAAACTGCTTGACAGCTTGCCCAGGAACGATGCGGTGGTTGAACTGTGATCTGGTGAATTCAATGTGGCTTACTGTTGTGATCCGGAGTGAAAACTTCCAACACCACCACCATCAGACAATAACTAGAGTTAGAAATGAGATAATGTAATAAAACTTGGTATTTAGCAATCTTATGTGGACACCCTGGTTTGGATGGCATTTGGACCCACTGTGGTCAAGGGTCACTATTACTTAAAATAGAAAATGTTTTTTGGACAATAACTAGAGTTCGAAACGAGATATTACACTCAAATTTAGTATAAAGTAAGATTATTTGAAGATCCTGGTTGGGATTGCAAATAATTGAAATCATTCTTTGTACACAGTACAATACTTCATTAATTATACTGGTAGGTTGAGTTCAAAATTTTCTTCAAACCACTAATTTTTCAAAAAGTCAAAGTTGCTGGTGGGGGTTTTTAATCTCCTTTACTGGTTTCCTAGCAGTTTCCGGCCCAAAATTGCACTTTATAACAAATAAAATAAAAATCTGTCTACAGACCAGTACAAATCTTTGATAGATTAAAGTTAGGTCCCTGTCCAGCATAACATGATGTTTTTTATGTTGCTGTTTACTTTAGTTTTTTTAATTGAAATATATATAGGCCTGAATGTTACACCTTTTCTCATGTTTATTCAAAATTTCATAGCAGTTTTACGGCCCTTTTATATTTTGAACATAATTCAGTACCCAGTAGAATTCCCCAGGTGGTGTTTATTTTTAAATATTGCATGTTTTCTAAGGTAACTTTAAACAACAGACAAAACTTCAAAACATATAAATCACTGTATAAGTTTAACTGCTGTGTTGCATAGAAAACAAATGTCTCTCTGATTTGATGACTACTGGTAAAAGTAGACTGTACTGGACGAAAATTATGAAGGGCTTGAAAACTGCTAGGGGCCGAATTTGACCTCTATTGATTTTGGAGTCACTAGGTCAAAGGTCAAGGTCACAGGGGCCTTAACCGGTACTGTTGGCCTAGTGGTTAAGGCACCCGCCTTTGGATCAGGAGGTTGAAGGTTCAAGGCCCATGGGGAGCATTATTTTAAGGATGAATGTTGCTTGTGGGACTTGTTCCGAAATGGCTGTTTCGTGAGCTGCGAGGTAGTTAAAATGAATGGCAATTAATTTTTACATTTTGAACTTTGTCCGGGACATAACTCTAAAACTGTAAGAGATATCAACATGAAACTTTGTAGGTAGATAGATCTCATTGAGTAGGTGTGCAGTGCAGAATTGTAACTCTGCCTTGCCTAATACTTGAATTATTGCCCTTTGTTTACTTGTACACTTTGAACTTTGTCCTAGACATAACTCTAAAATTATAAGAGTTATCAACATGCAACTTTACAGATAGATAGATCTCTTTGAATAGGTTTGCAATGCACAAGAACCGTTACTCTGCCATGCCTAATTTTTGATTTAATGCCCTTTGTTCATTTTGACACTTTGAACTTTGTCCAGGACATGATATTATTAGAGGTATCAACATGAAACTTTGTAGGTAGATAGATCTTATTGAGTAGGTGTGCAGTGCACAAGAACCGTAACTCTGCCTTGCCTTTTTTTTGATTATTGCCTTTTGTTTATTTTTCCTTTTTGACTTTTGACCATGACATAATTCTAAAACTATTAGAGATTATCAACATGAAACCTTGTAGGTTACTAAGATAGATCTCATTGAATAGAACTGCAATGCTAAAGAACCTAAAAACAGCCTTGTCTAATTTTGGAGTTATTGCCCTTTGTCCATTTTTACACTTTGAATTAATTACCCGGGACATAACTCTGAAATTATAAGAGATATCATCATGAAACTTTAAAGATAGATAGATCTTATTGAATAGATTAGCAGTGCAAAAAAAAACAACATAACTCTGCCTTGCCTAAATTTGGAGTTTTTGCCCTTTGTTCTTTTTTTTTATACTTTCCTGTGTCAAAAACCTTCTCAGGGAGCATCACCCGGTTCAACCGGTTCTTGTTTATATGAGGTTAGTGGCATGTTTTTATTTAAGTTTACCGTATATATTTTTAATAAATTGGTGCGCTAAGTGCTGTTGCCAAGAAAGGGGAACTTTACCAACTTTAAGTTTTGTTTTTCTTATGTTTTAATAGTTCTTTTTATGCCCCCTTCGAAAAAGAGGGGTATGTTGTTTAGTTAATGTTGGTCAGTAGATTGGTCAGTCTGACTGTAAACCACATGGTTTCCGCCATTATCTTAAAAACTATTTATCACAAAGTCTTCATATTTCACGTAGTGATTGGTCATAACTAGAAGATAAATCCTATTGATTTTGGGGTCGCTAGGTCGAAGGTCAAATTATGCCACCCTAGAAGAAGAGGGGGGTATATTGTTTTGCTAATATCGGTCCGTAGGTAGGTCTGTCTGTCCGTTGGTAGACCACATGGTTTCCGCTGATTATCTTAAAAACTATGTCAAAAAGTCTTGATATTTCACATGATTGGTCCTACTTAGTAGATGACCCCTACATAGGCCTTGAATGGTAGTATGATTTCAGCTTATTTAATGCCCCCCTTCGCTTATGTCTGTATGTCTGTCTGTCTGTCGGTCCACTACATTGTTTCCACTGATAATCTTGAAAACTATTCATCACAAAGTCTTCATATTTCACATAGTGATTGGTCATAACTACTAGATGACCCCTACTGATTTTGGGGTTACTAGGTCAAAGGTCAAGGTCACAGGGGCCTTAAATGTCAAAATGGTTTTTGCTGATTATCTTGAAAAGTATTCATCACAAAGTCGTCATATTTCACATATTGTTTGGTCATAACTAGTAGATGACCCCTAATGATTATGGAGACACTAGATCAAAGATCAAGGTCACAGGCTTTAAATGTCAGAATGGTTTCCACTGATAATCTTGAAAACTATTCATCACAAAGTCTTCATATTTCACATAGTGATTGGTCACAACTAGTAGATGACCTCTATTGATTTTGGGGTCACTAGGTCAAAGGTCAAGGTCACAGGGGCCTTAACCGGTACCGTTGGCCTAGTGGTTAAGGCACCCGCCTTTGGATCAGGAGGTCGAAGGTTCAAGGCCCACGGAAAGCGTTAATTTAAGGATGTATGTTGCTTGTGGGACTTGTTCTGAAATTGCTGTTTCATGAGCTGCGAGGTAGTTAAAATGAATGGTTACCGATTTCTATCTGCCTGGCACCTGGCATAGTGGTAGGAGTTGGGAGATACATGTCAAGGAAAAGGTGCCTCTTAAGTCAGTAATGGTTTCAGAAGGGGTGACACTATAATGAACAAGACCTTATTGATTGGTCATAACTAGTAGATGACTTCTATTGATTTTGGGGTCACTAGGTCAAAGGTCAGAGGGGCCTTGAATGGTAATATGATTTCTGCGTATTTCGGCAGGGGATATAAAAATAGTCTCCGTCTGCCTGTCCGCCCTCAATCACAGGACAGTAATTATGTGGCTAGAGGGACAATAGGTAACTGTTCTTTCTCTTTGATGTCATTCATTCCGTAATGCTTTTATGTGGCTATTTTCTTTTGTGTGGCTAAAAAGAACAATAGAGAGAACATAAGAGTAGCCACATTATTACTCTCCTGTTAGAACATTCGTCCGTCCATCCATCCGTCTGACCTTTTTGTCCGGAGCATATCTCAAAAGTATTTGAGGTATCAGCTTGAAACTTTATAGGTGGATAAATCATATTGAGGAGGATTGCAGTGCACAAGAATGATAACTCTACCCTGCATAATTTTTCAGTTATTGCACTTTGTTTACTTTTCAAACTTAATTTTTGTCCAAAGCATAACTCAAAAAGCCTTTGAGATATCAACATGAAACTTCATGGGTGGATAGATCTCACTCAGGAGGTGTGCAGTTGAATGATAACTCTATTCTGCATAATTTTTGAGTTATTGCCCTTTGTTATATTTCATACTTAATTTTTCAACTTAGTGGAGCATAACTCAAAAATTCTTTGAGATATCAACATAAAACTTCATAGGTGGATAGATCTTATTGAGGATGAATGCTGTGCATAAGAATGATAACTCTACTCATTATAATTTTTGAGTTATTGCCCTTTGGTTTTTTTTCATACTTTTTGTCCAGAGCTTATCTAAAAAAATATTTGAAGTATCAACTTGAAACTTTATAGGTGGATAAATCATATTGAGGAGGATGCAGTGCACAAGAATGATAACCTACTCTGCATAATTTTTGAGTTCTTGCCCTTTGTTATTTTTCAAACTTAATTTTTGTCCAGAGCATAACTCAAATAGCCTTTGAGATATCAACATGAAACTTTATAGGTGGATAGATCTCACTCAAGAGGTGTGCATTGCTTAAGAATGATAACACTACCCTTTATAATTTTTTAGTTATTGCCCTTTGTTATTTTTCATACTTAATTTTTCACCTGAGTGGAGCATAACTCAAAATGTCTTTGAGATGTCAATATAAAACTTCAAAGGTCGATAGATCTTA